AACAGTAGGTGTAATGAGGTCACAATAAAGTTGTGAAAAAATGGGTACACATTTTAACCAGTGGAATGTAAGCAAGCCAGAAGTTGTGCTAGGGCTGGAGTTGGATGGGAGGGTAGGCAGTAGATAGATGGACCAGGACAGAAAGAGGGGTGTTAATGTAACCGTTTTGGTAGGACGTTGGATGAGGGATTGACTTCCCTTGTCTCTTTGATGAGTTTGTGGCTTGGTGCGGAGACTGGTAAGATTTACTGATAATACCGACTTCAATGCCAGCGAAACGTCTGAGAATGTACCAAGTCCGTGGTCTGATGCTGGGAATTATGATGACTACTATGGCAGAGGACTTCAGAGAAGGTGGGTTCAACTATGTCGCCCTGACAACAAGGCCGAGTTGCGAAAAACAAGTCAATTCACTTCTATAAATCGAAAGGAGACTGTGACCACAGCATCTTGGTCTTCATATCTTCGGTTGATATATGTTTTTGTTTAGACTACTTAGAAAAAATCTCTCTATTGTGAAAGATTGTGGATTATTAAAAGACTAATTTGATTTATATAATTGAATTATTGACAATTCCTCAACTGTTGCTTCAATACTTATATAAAATGCAATGTTTATTACATTTAGGGAAACGCTGGTATTGGCCTGACCCTGCTTGTAATATTGACCAGTTTATTCCCAGTTTTGGTCGCCATTGTCTCTGTCATCGGAATCTGTGAGCGTACATTCATAAAGGAAGGGGGGGTGTACTTTATTATCTCGCATGTGCTTGGCTACCGAATCGGCGCAGCCGTCAGTATCACTTATTGCCTTGGGCAGGTAGTTCATCAATTCTTTATCACTTAATTATAATTTTATTTTTGTTCCATAACGATTCCTAATTGAAGGGCCCTTTCTTATAGCCACCTTTTCGGAAAAATGCACAGTATATTTTAATACTTTCTCAGATTCATGAGATACTGCTGTACATGCGACACTAGTAATAAGTTATACCAGAAGAAGTGTATTCTAAGTACAGAGTTTTAGAACAAGACTTTCATCCACATCTCCAACTTGTCAAATGACTCAAACTCATGATTTTTTTATCGCAAGGAAACTTCAAAATTTATCTCACACAGGCAAAGCTATCTTGCGGGAGGAATGTTCGTCGACAGTTGGAGTATTGAAGGAAGAATATCTATTCTTTTTTGTAGGATGAAACTTTGATTAATTGACACTTAATGAAGCCTGAGCGTAGAAAGTCAATGATAAATTGACTTACATAATTCACTTGTATAAAACAAAATTAAACTTTATATGAGATACACCCATGCTTTTTCGTTTAGGTTGATAAAGGGACTTGTAGTTGAATTTTCCCACAATTATATGAGTATACATGACGTTTCCATTGACTTTGACACAGTCTTTCTTTATTAAAACTTATTATCATCCAGGATGGACTGCAATATCGATCTCACCTTGGTCTTATCAACACACCCAGCTGGACTAGAACGTTGACAATGCTGCGACTGATCTCAACACGTTAACCACTCTGCAGCATTGCCCCGAGTGCTTTTAGTTCACAGGGCAGATCTGAATTTATTCGTCTATAAGTAGGTTTTTAGGCTACCAGTAGATCAGAAATATGTGTTTTCATCCTATTTTATTTAGAGTTATAAGCCTACTTATAAATGAAGAGTAAGTAATGTAGTCTAATACTATAGCAATAACTACTTTGAAGGTATGAAGACCAAGATGGTGTGGCCTTTTGTGAGGTCCCGTCTCCTTTCGTTGTATAGAAGTTGTTTGACCTTGTTTTCGCAACTTGGTCATATTGGTAGGAAGACTTAGAAAAACCCACCTACTCCGGAGTCCATTGTATGCATCATCATTTACAGAGTAGGACCGTGGACGTGGTACGTTCACAGACGTTTCGCCGGCATCGTAGTCGGTATCGTCAGTGAGTCTCGCCATTTGTAGCACCATATTACAAGTA